TAGGACCTGAGTTGGGCCCACCGGAACCGTCTGGGCCAGAACCTCATCATCAAAGTCAACCTGAGGCTCCGCCGCTGGTGCTGCTGCTCTGGATTGAGCCCTGCCCCTACCTCGTCCTCTAGCATGGCCTCGAACTCGCCCTCTACCCCTCGTGGGAGCTGCTGCTGGGGGCTCGGGTTGCTGGTCAGTGGATGAGGAAGTGTGTGTTCTTGCCATCTGCGAAAGAACAGAGTAGAAATTTAAATAGCATTGAGAAACCAAACCGCACGACAGGAAAGAATAAATGTGAAATTTTTCCTAACTCTTTAGCCTCTAGGGGATAAATACAGACGTCTCCGTACCGATCCCTTAGACTCTACTAAGCTTGTCTATGAACTGTGAGACCCATGTAACCTAGAGCTCTGATACCAACTTGTCACGACCCGGATTTTCCACCCTTGAGAGTCGTGATGGCGCCTACCAATGTAAGCTAGGCAAGCCAATTATTGAACATATTACATTTATCCATTTTTATACCCTTTTAACATTTATAAAGCAAATGTAAAAAACAGCATAAATTTCATTAAGCGGAAGAAATGTAGTAAAATATCTGAAATATGAATCTAATACAACTGTTTAAGCCTTAATCACCCAGAAATGGTGTCACAGTACTACATACGATCTAAGAGTGTTAAATACAAAGTCTGAAAATAAAGATACACTGTTTCTGAATCAAAGAAATGAAACAGGAAATAAAGGGATAGAGGGAGATGCTAGGGCCCTGCGGACGCCTGCAGGTCTACATTGGATCTCCTTGTGGACTAAAGGTAGCCACCCAATCTAAGATCCAAAATCTGCTCGGGGATATGCACATAGTGCAGAGTGTAGTATCAGCACATCCGATCACATGTGATGGTAAGCGCCTATCCTAACCTCGGTGAAGTAGTGATGAGGCTAGGACCAGATACCACATAAACCTGTGCAATTCAACTATATACAGCGGAAAAGAAGAACAGAAATAAATAGTCAAATATGGGAGGGGTAGCATATTGCGGGGGAGATATCAATTCAGAATAGAAAACAACAGGTAATTGAAGAAAACAGTAAATCTCAGATATCAACAAAGAACCAGAAATCAATAAGTGCACGGCATCACCCTTATTGCTTTTACTCTTGTCCTCACCAAAGAAATCAAGTAATGAAAATGTGCACGACATCACCTTTCATGCTTTTACTCTTGTCCTCACCATATAATCAATATAATCGGCACGGAATGGTACATCATGCAGCACGGCATCACCCTTCGTGCTTTACACTCTTTCCTCACAAATCATACACAACATCACCCTTCGTGCTTTATCACTCTCTCACCAAACAATATACGGCATCACCCTTCGTGCTTTACACTCTTTCCTCACAAATCATACACAACATCACCCTTCGTGCTTTATCACTCTCTCACCAAACAATATACGGCATCACCCTTCGTGCTTTAACTCTTTTCCTCACCCATACAACAATCACAAACAATAGATCAAGGAAATAAATGAAGTTATAATAAGAATCCCGGCAATGGATCAATAATTCAACAACAAGTCCCGGCAAGGGACAACATCAAAACAACAACAATATCCCGGCATGGGAGACATTCTTTTCTCTTTTTCAGTTTTACTTCACAGCTCACTTTACAACTTGAGCCAATGCTGTAATATGGTTCAATTTACCTCTTACACTTTCACATTTCATTATACGACTTGAGACAACACTCCTCAATATTCAAATGCCATAATTACTTCCACAAACTTTGCCAATAATAGAAATCATCACCAAAGCATGAACAATACAACGAAGTCATAAAAATCACAATATAAGACTCACGGGCATGCTTGACACCAACATATAGATACTCATCACCATGCCTATACATCGTACTGGACAAACACCATGTAACAAATATGACTCGACAAGGTTAGACCAAAAACTTACCTTGATGCCTCAAACACAATTCACGTCTCAGCTATCGCTTTACCCCTTGATTCCACCACCAATTCGCTCGTATCTAGCCACACGTTACTTAATTACATCAATAAACGCTAAATGAATCAACCCCAATGCATGAAAATGCGTTTTTCAAAGTTTTACCCAAAAAGTAAAAAATTGTCCCCGGGCCCACTGGGTCAAAACCCGAGGTTCGAACCAAAACTCGATTACCCATTCCCCCATGATCCCAAATATATAATTTATTTTGAAATCGAACCTCAAATCAAGGTCCAAATCCCCTTTTTTTTGAAAAACCTAGGTTCTACCCAAAACACCCAATTTCCCCCATGAAAATCATTGATTTGAGTTGGAATCATGTTAAAATATGTTGATGATTGAAGAAAACGAGTTAAAAATCGATTTGGAAGAAGAGTTGTCTTTGAAAAATCGCCCAAGAGTGTTTTGGTTTTGAAAGAGTGTGAAAAATGGGAGTTTTTCGGCTAAGTATAAAAAAAGCCTGTAGGCCTGCAATGCACAGCTGAAAGTCTGCAATCCTCAAGTCCAAAAATGCACCCTGTGGCCTATCCAAAACTCACCCGAGCCCTCGGGGCTCCAAACCAAACATGCACACCAACCTAAAAATATCATACGGACTCGCTCGTGTATTCAAATCAGCAAAATAACATTAATAACTATGAATTTAGCAGCAAAATCATGAAGTTTTCTTAAGAACTTCAATTTTCAATTTTCTCAAAACGATCCGATTTACGTCGTTTCAAGTCCGTTTCTTACCAAATTTCACAAACTTATCTTAAACCACATATAAGACCTATATCGGATGCCGGAACCAAAATACGGGCCCGATACCATCAAGTTTTAATCACAATTCATTTCCAAAACTCATAAACAATTTCAGAAAATAATTTTCTTTAAAACCCGGGCTTGGGACCTCGGAATTCGATTCTGGGCATACGCCCAAGTCCCATATGTTCCTACGGACTCTCCGGGTCCAATCACGGGTCCGGGTCCGTTTACTCAAAATGTTGACCGAAGTCAACTTAAACTCATTTTAAATGCAAAATTCATCATTTTCACAGATTTTCACAAAATGACTTTCCGGCTTCATGCCCGAACTACACACGCAAACCGAGGTGATGCCGAAAGAGGTTTTTTTAAGGCCTCGGAACGCAGAATTCATTTTTAAAACAAGCGATGACCTTTTTGGGTCATCACCTCAATATAACAGGATCATTTGACTGTAATTTTTTCCCTATAAAGTAATCCATATATCAAATTATAGATTTTAACAAAATGTTGCCGATTTTGTAGTTGGTATTGTTTGATTAACTACCGTTTCTTTCTTTACTTTCTTTTCTAAAATGATATATGCTTAGCACAAGTAGTGTTGCAATTCTCAAATGATATATCTTCGTCCTACGTTTTGTTGCCTTTTTTCTTTCCTTCCCGTTAGCTGCTTCTTCCTATTGTGCTAAGAAAATATAGGTACAGTTAAAACCTTATCATTGGACTGAAGTTTGATCCGCTGCAGTTAAAAGTTCAGGCTAATATTCGAGTCTATTATTGAGATTGTCACTTGATCATGCTTATAGCATTCAGAAGGTCATTCAACTAGATTTTTCAAATTTTTGATCGCCAAATACCCATTTTACCCTCTAAATTATCAACCTTAATCTTCTTTTTACTTTTTTAGCTTTTTAACATTATAATTTTTTATCTTTTTAATTTATATTATGGACTAATCTTAGAGTAAATAAATTTTACTTATAAATTAAAAAAATAAAAATAATATTTAAGCATATATAATATCGGGATAATAAAATATTGAGCAAAGTTAATTAGAACAATTTGTTCGTAATAATAATTTTGATATTAACAGCAAAAACTCAAAAATTTCAAACTGATTATTATCGTGGTTATTGTTGAGTTGAGGCTGGCCTAGTTTCACGATATGCGCCATCACGACGGGTCGGGTTTTGGTTCGTGACAACTATTGGCTCTAAGTTTTTTTCTGACAAGGGTATTATTCATCAGACCACTTGTCCCCATACTCCACAACAAAATGGTGTTGTGGAGAGAAAGCGTAGATATTTACTTGAAACTGCTAGGGCATTGTTATTCCAATCCAAACTTTCTATTTCTTTCTGGGGTGATTGCATCTTAACTGCCACCTATCTCATTAATAGATTCCCTTCTCCCCTGTTACAAAACAAAACTCCTTTCCAATTGCTTTATGGTTCACCTCCATCTTATGGCCATCTTAGGACTCTTGGTTGTGTGCTATGCTACTGTTCCTAGAGTCCTTAGGGATAAGTTTGATCCTAGGTCTGTTCCTTGTATTTTTCTGGGGTGTCCTTTTGCTAAAAAAGGTTACAAATTGTATAATCTTGTCTCCAAGTCTTGTTTTATTTCAAGGGATGTTTAGTTTCATGAACATATCTTTCCTTTCTCCTCTAGCACTTTCTCTTTTCCTTCTGTGTTTACTTCTTCTCCCTCTTTTCCTACTGATTTCCATCCTATCGAATGTCATGGTCCTTCTCCTTCTTCTCCATCTCCCCCATCTTCCTCTGTTCCTTCTGCCTCCTCTCATTTGCCTCATTCTGACTCTCAAGCCTCATCTCCTCATGTTGTTGCTCCTGTCAGGAGGTCCTCCAGGCCTCATAATCCTCCAACTTATCTGGAAGACTATGTTTGTTCCCTTCCCTCCTCTTCTCCTTCTTCCTCCCTCTCAACTTCCTCTTCTTCTCAGCCTTTGGCTGAACCTGCAACTTATTCTCAGGCTGTTGGTATACCTGAATGGCAGGAAGCCATGACCAAGGAATTTGAAGCTTTGGAGGCTAATGGCACTTGGTCCATTGTTGAGCTTCCTCCAGGCAAGAAACCCATTGGTTGCAAGTGGGTATATAAGGTCAAACAAAAGGCTGATGGGAGCATTAAGAGATATAAGGCTAGATTTGTTGTTAGGGGGGACACTCAGGTTGAGGGTATTGATTTTCATTGAAACTTTTTCACCTATTGTGAAAATGTCCACCATCAAAACCCTGGTTGTTGTTGCTGTTAAGAAGCATTGGTCCATGTTTCAGTTGGATGTCAATAATGCCTTCTTGCATAGTGACCTTGATGAGGGAGTTTTTATAAAGTTGCCTCCTGGTTACATTATTTCTTGTCCCTCCTTTCTGGGCAGTTGGTTTGCAAGTTGCAGAAATCCCTTTATGGTCTTAGGCAAGCCTCAAGACAGTGGTATGCCAACCTCTCTCAAGCCATGTCTTCTAGAGGTTATCAGCATTCTCTCAATGACTACTCCCTGTTCACCAAGGTTTCTGGGGATTCTATTGTGGTCTTAGCTGTTTATGTGGATGATATTATTTTAACTGAGACTGATAGTGCTGAGATCCTTGCCCTTAAGTCTTTCCTTCACCAGCAGTTCAGAATCCAGGATTTGGGTTCCCTCAGTTATTTTTTGGGTATAGAGGTTTTCTATTCAGTATCCGGGGTTCTCTTACATCAGAAGAAGTTTCTTCATGACCTTCTTATTGAGTTCCATTATTCTGATGTCACACCTGTGGTTTGTCCCCTCCCTCAGTCAGTCAAGCTCACGGCCAAGGAGGGGGTTCCTCTTCCTACACCTGAGGTGAACAGTTCCTTGGTTGGGAAGCTGAATTTTATCACCCACACTAGACCTGATATCTCTTTTGATGTGCAACATCTTTCTCAGTTCATGCAGTCCCCTTGTGTGCCTCATTTGGAGGCTGCTTTGCACTTCCTGAAGTACTTGAAGGGTACTGCTGAGTTTGGTATCTTTCTCAATAATACCCCTGATTTTTCTGTTGCTGCTTTCTGTGATAGTGATTGGGCTGCTTGCCCAGATACTAGGAGATCTATATAAGGTTTTTGTGTGCTCTTAGAGGGTAGTCTTGTGGGCTAGAAGTCTAAGAAACAGCCTGTGATGTCCATGTCTTCTGCTGAGGCTGAATATAGAGCCATGAGCAAGGCTGTCAGTGAGGTTACTTGGCTGCACAGGTTGCTCTTGGATTTGGGTGTTTCCTATCTTTCTAGTATTCTCTTGTTATGTGACAGCCAAACTGCTATTCACATTGCTAAGAACCCTGTTTTTCACGAAAATACTAAGCACATTGAGTTGGATTGTCGTTTGGTCAGAACCAAGCTTGCTGAGGGTCTTATTCAACTGCTTCACATATCTTCCTCTACTCAGCTGGCTGATGTCTTTACCAAATCTTTGGCTGGTGCTGCTCATCATGGTTTTCTCTCCAAGTTAGGGGTTTTGCCACCCTCCAACTTGAAGGGGGTGTTGGAAATATTGATCCTAGTCTAGATTAGATAGATTTGTTATACTAGTTATATTTGTATTGGGCCAGGCCCACATAAGTTGTAATTATCTTTTACTTCTTTTTCTTCAGTTTTGCATAGTCGGGCCAGGTCCCATATAAGTAGACCCAAGAGGTCTGATACAAACAACTTGTATATTTTCCATTTTTACAGATGAAAGAAAGCTTCTCTTCTCTCTCTCGACCACAGTAAACCCTAGCATAATTTCCATCGATTCCATCTCATATCCGTTGTCAACAATGTTTTCTCGAGAACAAGGCAATGCATGCTTACTCTGGAGATAGGATTGTTTTTCCATCTGGGCCTTTAATATAATTACAACTTTTATCACGTCAAATAATATGGATAAAATATCATAAAGGTGTCTAATAAGTTTTGAGAAAATTTGAGTCTTCAAAAGTGTGAAGTGAACAACAATTTGAATGGAGTATATAAGTAGTATTATACCATTCTTTGTGGAGAAATATATAGCTTTAGTCGCTCCCAAAAATAATAGTCGATAAAATATATATTATTTGTATGTACATATTTTATATACTTTTTGGCTAGTATCTAATTTTATCTGTATTGCTGTTTTTCCTTTTTTAGATGCATGCCCTTCTTTATAAGTTTCTCAAATCCTTTTAATTCTCTTTTTCCTTTCGCTCGTAACAAGATATGGACAAGAAGCATAATGTTCCCTTTTATTTTATGTATTTTAGTCTAATTGTGCTTGGAATTTAAGAATAAAAATAGTAGTACTTTTGAATTTTATCATGTGAATTTTATAGTCTTAAGTATGACATGTTGTTCCAAGAAGAGAGAGCCATTAAGGATGATAAAATTAAAATCATACTAAATATAAAAAGGTAACATTTTTCTGAAACATACTAGAAGAATTACAAGACACAAATTGGAACCAAGGAAGTACTACAAAAAAAGTAGAGGAAAAGAAAAAGGTAACAAGGGCAGGGTAAAAACTTATCTGCACCGGGTGATTTCATCAAATCGTATTAATTTATCATGGTTAAGTGATAAATTAAAGTTAAAATGTATATAAATCAATTATGATTTATTATAATCATGATTATAAAGATATAGATCATGTATTTATTAGATTGGTGTAAACGTATAGTATGGATAAGTATTTACCGGCGGTGGGGTTTTACCAGAAGAGTGGTAGTAACATTTTTAACTAGGTCATGTGTAGCGATGGAAATGGGTTGTTTGGGCTGAGTTTGGGCAGGTTAAAATGGACTTAAGCAAGAAATGTTCCATTGTCCAACTCTGCCCAAAGCTTACTCGGGCTAAGATGAGTTGGGTCAAAATATACTAAATAATGGGCGAAGTGAACCAATAGCCACTTTTAAGCCTAATGTTTAGAATATATTTACAATTTACAATGTACTTAACGATTAGCGAGTTCACCCAAATTTAGGACTAAGTATCCTGAATTTTTGAGCGGCAAATTTTGAATTCAAGCTTAGTGTCCTAAGTGTCTTAAATTTTTAAACTGCTAATATAAAATTCAGGATATAAAATTCAAATTTCTGGACAAAATTTTCAAACTTTAGGACATGATATCCTAAAGTTTGAACTTGAGGTTTAAACTTTAGGACGGTGTGTCCTGAAGTTTGAGTGAATTGGCTAATCTTTAAACACATTGTAAACTGTGAATTTATTTTAAACAAGGATTAGTTACCTCCTATAGCAAAAGTTGATACTTTATTTATTTTAAATAAATATCTTTTTAAAAAATTGTATTTCATAGATACCTTTTGATTTTTTATAGCCAAATATCTATTTATGGTCACCTCCTACCCTTAAGCCATAAAATAAGCTTTGTATTATTTTTCTCTCTCATATCCTCTCAAATTTCTCCTATCCCCTACCCCATATCTATTCTCTCTCTCTCTGTCTCTCTCTCTCTCTACTTCCCGGTGTCTTCTCCTCCACCGGATCAAGGCTAAAGATGAAGGCACTGGACTTCGGCTTCTGTTGCTTCTACTTTTGATAAGCGGCGGAGAACACGGCTTCTCCTCCGAAGATGGAGAAGAATCTGTCGATGGAGGCAGTCTATTAGAGTGGCTTCTAAGTTTCTTCTTCTCCCCTTCATCGCATGCTTTGTCTTCAATCCGGTAATTACGTGCTAATCGTCGGTAACCAGAGGCAACGATGACGAAAAGCGAGGATTGGATACTGATGTTGCTTCAACGAGACGACATTATGGTTGTTCTTGAACAAAGACGACAGAGTTGGGGGCTGAGCAACTTGAATTTTCTGTTAATATATTTCAATGTATCTCGCTGTATTTCATTGTATTCATTGTCTTTTTTTTCATTGTATTTTAATGTATCTCGTTGTATTCTATGTATTTCATTGTATTCATTGTCTTTTTTTCATTGCAGTTCAATGTATTCTATGTATTTTATTGTATTCACTGTCTCGCTATATTCGATGAATGTATTCATATATTTTTTTAATTAATATAATTAATGTATTCAGATATATTATATAATTTTCTAAAGATTGCTATGTTTTTGGGGTATTTTTCGGTTGAAAATCTCTTTTATAACTGGAAATACAAAATTTGTGTATTATAATTGAGTTTGTTGAGTTATATTAGGAGTCTATTATGTTAATTGATTCACTTTTCGTTTAAAAATAGTGTAATCCCCTGTTTTACGTCGTGAATACGGTCGAATACAATAATATGTCCAGATGTAATCCCATGTCTCACGCCATGAATACACTCGAATACACTCGAATACAAAAATCTGTCTAGTGTAATCCCATGTTTCACGCCTAGAAATGCTACTGTATTCATGAATACATTAGCTTAAATACATCGAATACACTCTAAAAAAATTGAAAACATAGCTATAGGAAGTAATATAGTAAATGGTAGCTACAACTAGCTAATAACCACTAAAACATAGTGATTTCTGAAAGTTTCTCTTAAACAATATACTTAAAAGTAGCTATCTGGTATCATTTCCCCCTAAATAATATGTTATAGCTCAACCCACCCAACTTGACCCGACAGACTTGTGCATTCTTCAAAGACACTTTTGAATTAGTCATTATTCAAATTACTTAAACTGACCAAAATATTACACTTTATAATCCATAATTACATTAATTTAGTAAAAAGTATGACAAAAACTGTAAATACATATGCAGTAGTACTTAATTATTTATCAAGAAGTTAAGAGATTACTATTTGATATTGATTTGAAAAAATGTTTCTAGTGCTTCAAAGTGCTCACTTAATATGATTATTTATTTTCTTGACTCCTACCAACCGACCTACAATAGGGGCAGAGCTATATTGAACCAAGGGGTGTTAAGCGACCCCCCTTCCCCGGAAAATTATACTATATTGTTAGATAAATTTTTTTATTTTATATATATTTACTATATGTTGACTCCACTTAATTTTTTCATGTATCTAATTATTTATATTTTAACATCCCTTGATGAAAATTTTGGCTCCGCCACTATCTACAGATGCTAAAATATATGTATCATAACTTACAAACTTAACCCAAGAATGTGTAGGTATTAAAAAAGTGAGTATTTTAAGGGCATATCTATACTATTTTATCTTTATATATAGGCGTAATGACTTCCTGAACACTTAAATTTGTAGGGCTTTTGAAAACCGATACATGAACTTTGGATTTTCCCATTTGAACACTCAAACTTGACAAAATGGGTACTAATAAACACATCCACCAGAGCGTGTATACCGATTGCGCTGACATATACAACACATCATTCTAAGCTATTTATTACTTGCCATGTATTATTTGTGGGTCCCATTTTTAAATACAAAATAAAAAAAAAAGTTACTAATACAAAAAAGAAAAAACCCTGAAACATACCCAGTATTAATCTGTACCCAACCACCCCTTCTTCGTTCACCCTCCTCCCTTCCTTTCTTTACTCTTCTTTCTTCTCCTTTCTCTTTTTCTTCATTATACTTTCTCTCTTATTTCTAAATCAAATTCACAACATCACTATGACCATGATTAGACCCTAACCAACAAAAAAAAGAATTTGGAATTTAAAAAAAAAACTGTTATGCTTGTCATTTATTTCAAACGATAAATTAATTGTGTAGGGGTGAATATCAGCTGATCTGGTTCATGAACTTTTTGGGCTTGGTTTGATGACTATAGTTGGCATAAAAAAATATAGCTATTTTTGCCTTTATATTTCTTCTACAATCTACATAGGACTTCTAGGTTTTTTTCCCGTAGGTCAATATATTGTGGAATAATCATCAACCCATGACTTCTTTTCGTTTATTACAGGGTGGTGATTTCTCCAAAGGGAATGATATGCTTTTCCCCTTCTGGGCCCTGAACTTTCAATTGGTGCAGAGGACTCTTTAACTTCCAAACTCTAACCTAGAAAAGTAAGGCACACGAACTTTTAATGTTTTGCAGGCACTGGTGGAGAGAGTATATATGGAGGGAAATTTCTAGGTAGATTAGTAGTATATATGCTTGAGTGTTTGATAAATGGTTATATGATTGGTTAATGATGGTAATT